CTGAAACACATGGTTAAAGTCTTTCTTCAGACATCTCAGGCTGCTCTTCTTGTAAATGTAACACCCACATTTGAACTAAGCGGGCATTCAGAGGGGTGGACAATTTCATATAAAGGCTATCATGCTGGCTTTACTAGCTCAGGCCACTGATGTCACAGAGGTCTGCATGTGGTCCAGGAAATAAAGTGTAGAGCTGAAGATGGCACTACAGATCAGTAGCATCATTCATTTCAAAGTTACATTAATGTCAAGACTAAATTTTATAATAATAAATGACATAATTGTCATGGTTTTTTTAAAATTATTTATTAAAAGATAATGTTTTTGAAATATCATTACAGTCTCTCTAATAGTAGAGCTTCCTGATGGAGTAACGGGGAAAGACGTTGGGATTAACAACGCTAGTAGGAGTCATCCCTTGCTGAACAAGGATGAATATTTATAAAATTACATTTATTCAGTTGAATCAACCAAAAAATATCAATATACTGTGCTGCTGATGGACTGTCTTATTTGGTAAACAGTATCATTTTGGGAAGTGCCGACATTTCAGCTGGATTGATACAATGATGATAATATTAGCAGTAAGAATAATACTATTCATAATAGAGCACTGTGTTAATTTGCTATGTATAAAGCAAAGTAAAAGATGTAACATTTTGTAAGAAAATACAGGATAAAAAGGGTTTAAAAATGATCAAATAACATACAAATTAATCAAGAAAATAAGGCTATGAATAAGGCAACAGAGTCTGTGATAGAAAAGATAAAAAGGCATCCTGAGGCTGGTTTTTACAGAAACCTGAAATCAACCACAAACATGGGCAGGACCCTTAAAAGCAGTTAATAAGCATTTGAATTACACACAGGAGGAACTGTGGCCAGGGGCTAAGAGATGACTGATGTGATGACGTGTGCTGGCTCTGTCAAAACTTGTACTGACATACTTATGTTTCACTTCCTGTTAGTGCAAAACAATCAAGTAGGTTGTTTTATAACCGGCTCAGACCTGTTTGGATGCCTGAGAGCACCACCAACACTGACTCATTTGACTTCTCATTACAGAAGAGGATTTCATTAATAATAGCCTAATGATGATGATGTTTCCCTGTGTTTTCCCAGTGTCTCCATGAAACAGCACAAACAGTGTTCCACAACGAGTTCTCATCAAACAAAATTAGGCTTTTAGTTTGCATAGTCTGCCCAGACAAACAGGTGCTTGTTTTTTCTCCTTCTCCTTTCTCGCAGCTCATGTGTGTCAGTTCTGCTTTCTGTTTTAATTTTACTCGACACTTAAATCTTTTTAGATCTACTTTTGCTATTTTCATCCCATCTTTAAAACCACAACAGGTTCTCATGCGTGTGGAGTTTTACAGTTTTTGGTAAGCCTAAAAACAGACTGAAGTATCTGTGACTACAGAAAAGCACTCCTCTTGTATCAGCAGCATTTATTTCTATCAGACTTTTCAAAATAAATGCTTTTCAAAGGGCAGTTTTTTTTTTACATCACAGGAATCACAAAACTGTATGATACATGCCCTAGCAGATATTAATAAATATAGAGCTTGGTATTTTGGCATTGCCTGATAGTTTTTAAAACCTATAATACTGACTATATATTCACCAGCCACTTGATTAGGTACACCTTTCTCATTATGGGTTGGACCCCCTTTTGCCTGAATAACTGCCTTAATCCTTCGTGGCACAGATTCATCAAGGTCCTGGAAACAATCATCAGACATTTTGGTCCATATTGACTTGAGAGCGTCACACAGCTGCTGCACATTTGTCAGCTGCGCACCTATGACGCAAATCTCCTGTTCCACTACCTCCCAGAGGTGCTCTATTGGATTGACATCTGGCGACTGTGGAGGCTATTTGAGAACAGTAAACTCAATGTTAGGTTAAAGAAACCAGTTTGGCATCATTGGAGATTTTTGAAATGATGTGTTATCCTGCTAGAAGCAGAAGATGGTCACACTGCAGTTATAAAGGGATGAACGTGCTCAGCCGCAGCCTGTGGGGTTTAAATGATGCTCACTTGGTACTAAGGGGCCAAAAGTGGTACAAGAAAATATTCCCGACACTATTACACCAGCAGCCTGAACTGTTGATATAACATCTATGTCCAGTTTAGGGCAGTCTGTGCAAATTGTAGCTTCATTTTATGTTCTTAACTGGCAGGAGTGACACTCGTCTTCAACGTGCGAGTTCAGGGATTTTCTTCTGCACAGCCCAGTTGGTTATTTGAGTCACTGTTTCCTCCTTATCAGCTCAAAGCAGTTTGGCCACTTAAACAAGGTATTTTCTTAAGAGAACTGTAGAAACTGTAGCTCACTGGATATTTTCTTATTTTCAGAACATCCCATTTAATCTGTGGAGATGGTTGTGTGTGAAAATCCCAGTAGTTTCTGAACAGTTTTTTTAATACTCGGATCAGCCCTTCTGACACCAACAAACATTCTGATGTTTTGTGTGAACTTCACCAGGTCACACACATGACCCACATGCTTAAAAGCATTGAGTACTATGTGGTAGATGTATAAAAGGCCAAAAATGTATTTAATATCATACAAAGCTTTTTTTTTTTTGTCCCTTTTTGCCTTTTTCAAGCGTGTTTATCACTTGTAACTAATGCAGAAAGCACACTCTGTAGAAGTAGAGTCAGGTTTTACTTACCTCTAAGACGTGCTAAAATATTCTAAGCTGAGAGCAAAAAAAACTCTTGTAAATTTAACAAAGTGAGAGAACAATGGTGTTTTCGAGGAAGTTATCATTTCCAGTCACACATCTTTAAAGGTGTTAGTGGCTTGATTTTTTTTAGCCTGTAACCAGGCTACAGTCTGTTGTTGTAGTCAGCTCAGCCTTTATGCAAACTGACAGCCAGACCACATTTTGGAGATGTTAGAGAAACAAATTTAATGTACTTTGAATCATTTCTCTGGGAATAAATTCTCAGTGGACAGAATCTGTAGCAAATGACGTCAATCCATCCTGGAGCTCAGCAGCTGTGGTGGCTTTCTGCTTTTTGTTTGTTTGTTTTATTCATTTTGATTATTTTTGGCTTATAGCTCCAGTTAACCAAACACAACCAACATCAGCAGATGGCATGGTACCCCAAATAATCACAGGCTGCAGAAACTTCACACTGGACTTCAAGCACCTCGGATCCTGTAACTCTGCACTCTCCCTCCAGACTTTAGGACCTGATTTTATAAATCAGAAGCATCTGTCCAGTTCATTTTTCTCCGTAGTCCAGGCGAGATGCTTCTGCCATTGTCCCTGGTTCTGGAGTAGTTTTAGATTAGAAATGCAACAGATGTAGTTTCTTTCCTGAAGACATATGTGCATGGTGGTTCTTGGGGGACATACAGAGCCTCAGTTTATTTCTTGTGAAGCTCCTTCTTGAACTCTTCTCAAGCCTGCAGTCATCAGTCTTTTCCCCAGTCAACTTTCCCTTAATATGCTTTAATACACTATTTTACAAACAGCCGGCCTTTTCAGCAGTGACCTTCGGTGGCTTAAGGATGTCAATGGTCATCATCCAGACATCTGTCAAATCAGCATAGTCACTCATCATAGTGGTTTCATGTACTAGTCTGCAGTATTTATACTGTATAAATAATAATTTATTCAAACTACTCATTTACTGGATTTCTAATTTTCATGAGCAACAAGCTATGATCAAAATTAAGATAAAAAAGGTTTGACCTTATTGCACATGAAATTGCAAAGAAATAACTTTTAATAATATTTAGTCATTTTTGAGAGGCACTAGTACACTGTATTTGAACAGTGACTGAAGCTTTCTACACTGAGTGTCTTGCTTAGTAAGGCCCTTTAGGATTAGCCAAAATTAGAACAAATGGTCCATTTGGACAACCCCATTTATTTAATCTTGATTAATTAAATTGAACATTTTTGGTTGACAGCGCATTTTATTATTCAGGTTTCTAATTATTTCAATTACCATAAAGGTGCCAAAACAACATGAGATGTTACTTCATGCTTATCAAGGTATATTAAATATAATTGCAATGCAAGACTTGTAAATCAGTGAAAAGAAAACCTGACCCCGCAAACCACATGTAAAAAGAAACACATGTCTACATATCTTCTACCACAACTGCTAAGGTGATTAAAGAACATTTAAACAGCATTGTCACTCTTCCTGTAAACTTGCATGACTTCATACTCACATGCCCCGCCCTGTATAGTTAGATCGAGCATCACAACCATGTGACAAGCATGAATTTGGATTTATGAAAGAGAAAGAGCAAGACACATTCACATTAGATAGTTGCTCTTTTTTTATACAGGCTCAAAAGAGGTAGCTTGTTTCCTTTATATTTTTAGAGCATGGTTTAACTGCAGACCTACAGTACATATGCTTAAGATCAGGTATAGTAGCATGAATATGCATTGCTCACTTTGGACCTTTCTTAGACAGAATTTCTTTTAACAGTCATGTGCACCCACTTATTGAGATCCAGTCAATTCTTTATAAGCTCGTGTGAACACGGGCTTAATAAAATATCTCATCATGAAAAAATAAATAAATAAAAATAAAAATTTAATGTGTTTTGGATAAGAGGTTTCAGACGTACACCCTGATGGAGAACTATCCTCGAAGAACCCATGCATGTGAAGATATGTATACAAAAAAAGTCAACACACAACGAGATACACTCAATATTATTTATGTTATTGTACAATCTGCATTTTTAAACAAATAATAATAATTAAAAAAAAAGATTAGTAAGATGTACAGTATTCGAATAATCGTATCTGGTGTGGACTGAAGACTCGAGTCCACCCAGAGCTCCAGTGATAGGAGAGGACAGAGGGCTGGAATGACTTATGACGGCTTAATAAGTGTGTGTGTG